GCCGCCGGTGGCGAGAATGACGGCATCCGCCAGTATCCTTGATGCCACCCCCTCGTCCTGCAGTACTTCCACGCCGTACACCCTCACCTGTTTGGCACCATCATGGCGCACCCGGGATTTGCTCAGCAGCGAAGTGACAGTAGTGTTTTCCATGATCGTCACGCGATCCGCCAGCTTCGTGCGAACGTGCTGCTCAAGCGTTTGCATGATGGTGAAGCCAATGGGCACAGGAGTGCCGTCGGCCTTATCGGGGGCACGGTGTGTGCGCTTGCGGCTGTGCCCACCAAGCTGCGAAAGCACTGTCAGGGGAACGCCAAGCGACGAAAGCCAAGAAATGGCATCCCCGCTCTTTACGGAGAGTGTGCGCACCAGACCGGGGTCGGTGCTGCCACCGAGACCCGATTTGTGCGTGTCGCGCTCAAAGTACTTCCCGCTGTCATAGACATCCTGCTCTGCCTGTGCGCGCGTGCCCCAGCCATTGATGCCGGACGTTGCCTTGGCGCTGTTGCCGCCAACCCTCGGTTCCTTCTCCAGCAGGATGACTTGGGCTCCGCAGGCGGTGGCCTCGATGGCTGCAGACAACCCGGCAAGACCACCACCCACAACAATTACGCGTGCAGGAAGAGAACCGGCAATACGTTTTTTGCGAATCTCGGCGTTATCAGTGGCTATTTCAAACATACGGGCTACGCGTTCGCCCTGTCGTGTGTAGGTAACGTAATTCGTGACGCGATTTCGCACGTGACGCCATTCCTCCAACATTTGCCGTACTTTTTTAATGTCACGTTTGATGAGGCTTGCCGTTGCAAGTGCGTCAGCGTACATTGCGCTGTAGCACTTGATGGAAACCTGCGCCAGTTCACTTTCAACGGGCTCCAGCAGATCCTTCTTTTTCCAGTCAAAGATGGAAGTGTAAAGCTTCTTGTTGGAGCCTTCTGTCAAGTTCTCGTAGTCCCCACTCGTACACAGAGCCTCATCGTTTAGTGGCAGGACACGGATATATGAAGGATCCTTTGGTGGATTTCGCAATTGCTCCATGGACGGCGGCCGAATAATGCCTACCATCCATGGTGTGCGTCGCGCGTTCGTACCACTTGCACGACAGTCACCGCCCCATTCAAAGTAAACATCGACAATTCCAGCTGCGTTTAACCTCTCCACGACGTAGTCCACTATGTAGCCCTTGCTCACACCGCCCAGATCAAAGCGAGCATCTTCGTGCTTGCGGGCGATGGTGCCCATTTCCAAGTCAACGCTGAAGCTGCTGGGAAAGTTGCAGACCCGGAAAAGCTTCTCCATCTGTTCATCCGACACGGAGGCTTTCTCTGCAACTTTGGCACGTAACGCTTCAATGATTGGTCCAGTGGCAGGATCAAACACCCCACGGGAAGAGTTGAAGACGTGTTGACAGCACGTAATGACACTCTTAAGCGTGGCAGACATAGTGTGCTTTTGACCAACCGGAAGCCTGCCAATCATGGAGATCTCGCTGTTGGGGTTAAAATTGTTCAGAACGGTATCTGCAAGATGCCAAGCGGAGCGGAGAACTTCATCCGCTACCTCTTTGGCGCGCGAGAAAGCAACCGCCTCTGCAACAACCTTCAATGTGAAAGGCACAGTGAGCTCAAGGCCGTTGGTCATGTATTGCAGGTGTGTTTGCAGGGGGCTGTCCCGAAGAAGGGCACGGGCCGCCTCATCCCTTTCCCGTGCGGCCTTCTCAGGATCAACAGCAACGACGGAGGCGGAAGATCGGCCGTCTGCCATTTCTCCTTCCTCTGGAGTGCCGGCAAGTAATCAAAAAAAAAAGACGTTCAAAAGCAATGTTTTTTTTTTTTCCTTTTTTTTTCTTTTTCTTTTTCTTCCTTCGTTTTTCCTCTCCCTCTTTCCTCGCACAGTTGTGTTCACTCCCTCTGTCCTAATATGTTCCTTTTTCTGTATTTGCTCCTTCTCTCTTCCGTTCTTTCTTTTGTTCTGTTTTTAAAGTAAATTAAATTGTTTTTGTTTTTTGTATTTTCTCGTTTGGGTGGTTGTGTGTGTGTTGAAAATGGCGTGTAAATAAAAAGAAGAAGAAAAAAAAAACTTTTTTTTTTTTTTTCTGTTTGCAATTGCTTTCGCGTGGCAGTTGATTTCCAATAGGGATCGGTAATTTGCAAACAAACAAAAAGATAAAAAAAGAAAAAAAAAAAAAAAGAAAGTCAGACAATCGACATGCACAGAGTTATATATACACGTACGGAGGCAAGAAGGGAAGGAGGTTTGGGAGGTAAAGTCATCAAAAAAAGAAAAAAAAGGAAAAAAAAAACCCTTTCCCCTTTTACACGTGTCTGCATATGTGTGTTATGTGTGTGTTGGCAGTAATATGCCCATAGCATGCAATGTACACACACAGAAACAGACACACAGAGACAGACAGACAGACACACAGAGACAGACAGAGACAGACGGACAGACAGACACAAATGCCCGATGAAAGACAGACACACAGAGAACAATAAAGACAATAAAACATTCCCCTGGCTCAGCCGGCCACCTCAACGTGGTGCCAGGGTCTAGTACTCTTTGCTAGAGAGGAAGCTAAGCGCCTGCTGTTCATGCTTCAAACCCGATGAGTAGTTGTTACTTAGTTTTACGGGCCGGAAGGGCAGATGTTGGAGTCATTCTATAGTGGCTGCCCGCGGAGTAAGGTTATCCTTGCTACTGAATTCCTTCGTACGCCTACCAGAGCTGCACCATTGAGGTGTAGTTACTACGACTGGTAAGAGAAGAAAAAAACAATAAATCATTATTTTTTTTTTGAAGTCTACACACACAAAAAAAAAAAAGACCCCCCCCCCCCCTCTTTCTCACTGGACCCTCCTCCTTATTGCTGTTCTTGTTGTGCTGGTGTGCTTCTCTCTGAGGAACCCCCTCAACTCACCCACCCCCCATGCATGTACGCGTAAAACGACTTTAAAAGCGGATGCCAAAACGTTATTGAGTAAAGAGATATTCGTGCGTACCCTCATGTAAAGTACACCAAATTTATAAAGAATTATATGTGTGCCTTTAGTGGTGTTGTGGGTGACTTCCTCCGTCACGACGTGTAAAGGCATCCATAACTTTTTGCTGTGCCTCCGCCACGCTCATTGACGGTCGTGTGTCTTCTCGCGAGTCTAACCCTGTCGTTTGCTGAAGAAAGCGCTGAAGATGTTCCTCACGTTTTCCAACCGCACCGCCATCTGTTTGGCCAGCGGCACGATCGGCGTCGTCCAGTACACCGGGTAGCAGCGGTGGCTGCATGCCAGAGACAAGCTCAGCCACCTGTTTACATGCCTCCTCACGCACTCCGTCTCCCACAAGTATTTTTCCTCGACTGCGCGTTGTGTCAATTTTGTACCGGGCGGCCTCCTGCATTGGCAGTGCGTTAAACTCCGGCGCAATCTCACGTTGCAGCTCAAGTCCCGCCTGAAACGCCACCTGTCGTTTAATTTCATTGCCCGATTCCTTGTCATGCAGCATCCAACGCCGTAATAGCAGATTATACTGCTTCCCCCACTCGTAATATCCATCCCGGAAGTGCAGAACATTTGTATAGCCCATCCAACTCAGTATTTGCGCCGCCATTAAAGCTCGAGGACCGTACTGGCAGTAACAAATAATTTTCTGCTCTGGACGCGGTTTTGCAAATCCAAACTCCACCTCAAACTCCTCCGGTGTGAGGTGAAAGCCTTCAAACATCTCGTGAGCCGGTAGCAGCTTCGCCCCCTCAATCATTCCCCATGATGTTACCTCATTTACAGTACGGCAGTCAAGCAAAACAAAGCCGTCGTCATACTCCGGACGGGATGACAAAAAAACATCCCGTTCATCATCGGTCAGTTGTGAAAGAACCGCCGGTGAAGCAGCAAAGGAGGAATATTCATCATCAACACCACTGCCATTATTCATCGCGGTGATACCGTCACCACCAACATTATTACTATTATTACTACTACTCCTGCTCCTGTTAAAACCAAGGATGGGGAACCTTGCAGCCTCCAACACAGACGACGCCTGGCGTTTGCTTAACGATACAACCTTTGCCTTCACTTTCGCTTTTTTATGCAGAAATTCTTTCCGGCGTTCGGTGCGGGCACGGATGAGGTTGGCGATAAACGCACAGTCGACCTGAGGTATGGAGCGATCCAACTCCTCCAGCGAAGGTTCCGTCCAGTCCCTTCTGCCTGCCTCGGCACGATGCTCGCTTCCGGGTTGTTGCATGTCTGCTGCCATAAGCTGAGATTCATTCCTCGTTGCCTTCACTTCACTGGCAAGATCTTCAGGGCTCTCCCTTTCTTCCATACTGGCAGCGGGATCCCCATCCCGACCCCACCGCCCTCGCATCCCTTTCCGCCTTTCTTCCATATTCCCAGAGGAAAACAATACACACGTGGGCTGCAGTAAAGAAGCCCAAAGTGTGGGTGCATGTCCCTGAAGACAAACCGCAACCCGCTGCACGCAAAACCTCCGCCACATTAATGCACCCCCCCTCCCTCCTTGCCCCTACCTCTACCTCTAATCCCCCCACTCCACACACAAACAAACGCACAAGCAACGCTACCGCGCAAAAGATAGTAAAAAAAAAAAAAAGTAAAAACTATAAAATCAAAACGCATAATAAATAAATAAATAAATAAATAAAAGATAAAATACAAAAAAAGAAACGTAAAAGGTAGAAAACAACAACAACAACAACAACAGACAAGAGAGAAACAACAATACAACCAAAAGTAATGAACATGTATGAAGACATGTACAAAAAGTACATCCCTATATATATATATACAAATACATGCAATGGCTGTATACAGTATGTATCCGACACAACCAAAAATACATAAAACAACAACAACAACACACACACACACACAAACAGAGAGAGAGAGAGAGAAAAAAAAAATTAATTCATTAATTAATGAATTAATTAATACGCACCCAAAATTTATTAACAAATCTTTACAGCATAAAACAATTTGCCTACAATAATCATCATAATAAAACGATTCATCCACACACACACACACACACGCAGACACACACCCATACAAACCAGAAAAAAAAAAAAAAAGAAGAAGAAAAAGAAGGTTAAAGTAAGGTTCAATGCGCCCAAAAACATCCACACGAAAAGCAGAATTCATCGAACACTCACAAAAACCCCACAAAAAACAACAACAAAACAATTCCAAAGAAACAAAGACCAAAAAAAAAAAAAACGTATTGCATGCCCAAAACCACCCAAAACCCTCCACTAATAGGCCCATAGATACAACAGGCACAATAGAACGCACAAACAAAAGATCAATAAAAAATTTAGAAACCACTCCGCTAATAATAATAACAATAATAATAAAACTGAAGAAAACAAACATAGAAAAACGGTCACGCACAAGCAAAAAGGGTTCTCTCTGCTCGTTGTTTCATCGCTCGAGGGAAGTTCTCTTTCATTGCAGAGCTCTCACGCCAAAATAAAAATATGGTTGGGTGAGGCAAATCGTCCTGGGAACCGCACCAAACACAGCGGCCCTTGTCGCGCACAAACACGTATCTTGAATCTAATTTGCGCTCCAGCGCACACTTTCCGCAGCCTCTAGCCACGCCCTTGATTGCGGATGCGACGCATGTACGCACGGTAGTACGCGTCATCTCGTTTGCCGCGGTTGAAGTCCTCCAGCTGGCCGTAGTCGATGCGCCTCGCCAGCATCTCCTGGATCTCCTTCGCTGGCGGGTACTGCCCAGTGCACAGCCACGACCCTGGCGCGTCGCACTTGCGGTTCTTCGGGTCCGCCACCCACGCCTTGCTCTCCGCGCTCACATTCATCACCTTGTAGATCTTCACCAGGCCGTGGCGCGACCTGTAGGCAAGCCTGAACATATTGTCGATCGCCGGACTGGGGCTCTCCCCAGAGACATGCAGGTTGTACAGCAACGACATCCGCATCATCGGCGTGGGACGACTTAGGTCGTAGTCCTCAAACCCAAAGTTGGAGCACAACGGGTCGTCCTCGGGGCAGATGTCGCGGTACACACTGTTGCCAATGCGTGCCATGTGCGGCGACTTCATCAAGTCCTCCGCCCGGCTGCCGGTCCATA